ACACAGTTTTGTAGATTTATCTCCCAGTGAAAGCTGACTTTGGCTGTTGCTCCAGGGCTATGTTTAGTGTAAAGTAGCTATTTTAAATAAATAAGATATTTAAAGTAAACAGGCTTCTTCTTCTTTTTTTTTTTTTTTTATAAATAGGGATCTCCTAGGAATTGCAGAGGAGGGAGTAGTTTCAAGCCCAAAGCAGCTCCCCATCCAGGGATAGAAAAATGAGAGAATGCAATGGTCCCCTCTTGAGGGAGAAAAATGACTTCTCCCCCATGTGGAGGCAAAGAAAACGGTCCCTGTGCGAGCCACCAAATGTTAGGGTGGGAAAGCCTCGTAGGTGCTTACGGCGCAGGTGGAGAAAGGTTTCTCATGCAGAAATTAAGATAGAGGCCGGGCGGGCGCGGTGGCTCAGGCCTGTCATCCTAGCACTCTGGGAGGCCGAGGTGGGAGGATCGCTCAAGGTCAGGAGTTCGAAACCAGCACTGAGCAAGAGCGAGACCCCGTCTCTACTAAAAATAGAAAGAAAATGAATTGGTCAACTAAAATATATAGAAAAAATTAGCCGGGCATGGTGTTGCATGCACCTGTAGTCCCAGCTACTCGGGAGGCTGAGGCAGGAGGATCGTTTGAGGCCAGGAGTTTGCGAGGTTGCTGTAAGCTAGGCTGACGCCATGGCACTCACTCTAGCCTGGGCAATAGAGTGAGACTCTGTCTCAAAAAAAAAAAAAAAAGAGAGCGAGACAGCAGGGATGGGTGGGAGGGGGAAGATCGCAGGGAGGTGGCGTGGGAACCCACGGAAAGAGAAGGGAGATGCCAGCCGTAACCAGGCTTCTCCAGTGAGACTGTTTTGAAAATAATCAATAGCAGATTTTAAATCTGGCATTCTGGTAGCTTGGGGGAGGCTCAGGGAAGCGACATTGTCACGTACTGAAAAGATGGTTCCTGTATTCCGGGCACCCTCTTTACGTGTTCTCCCCGAACCAACAGCCAAGTTTAGTTCGCCCATGCAAGACACGTCTGTAAACCAGAGATGTGAGTTACACCCTGTGACTTAACTTAAGGAGCCTTGAAAGGTGGGAAAGTGCCTCTCTCCGTCCTCCCTCCTCCGTGTTGGCTGATGAGCACACGGATACCCGGGACAGTGGAAGCCACACGGCACCCACAGAGGAGAAACGGGATGGGGAGAGGGCGGGTCCCTGACACCAGGACCCCCAGACCAGCCTGGGACTGTCTCCCTTCCAGCTTCTCCAATGTGAGACAGAAATCGACATCCGTCTTGTTTGTCATTGTTAGTTTTGGTTTTTCCCTCACCAGCAACTAACGTTTATCCTAACAACACACCTTAAAAGAGACACTGCATTCTCGATGGGGTTGGATTTTTTTTTTTTTTTTGCCTTATGAACTTCTTTTTCATGAGCTATGGTGTTTTCATTTTCCTGATGGAAGGAAAAAAATATAGTATATTCTTATTTTCATCAATTTTAACACACTTGAAAGCCTATCCCCACATCTTCATTACATTGTAGTGATTTTAAATAAATTCCATTATATGATCTTTATATAGAACATATGAGGTATTTTGAAAGAGAGAGAAAGCTGTTGTTATTATGAATGAATTTAATCAATAATCAAATTTATGATAGAATAGAAAGAACATTTGTAAAGTTATAAAGTATATATGATTATTCTAATATTCTTATCTTAGGAGCAAATGTTAACATTGGAGGAAGGAAAAAAGAAAAAAGAATGTAAAAATATTTTAAATATTTAATATTATATTTTTTAAAAACCCTAATTATTCTATCTTTAAAAACATTATTCATATTGGCCACTTCTTTGTTTAACCTGGTGAATCTGATTTTAGGGGGAAATTCAGCTAGTCATGCCATCTACCTAGCCTAACTGACACATTTTTATGATTTATCTGAACAAATATCTGGTGCTATCAATGATCTACAACTCCAGTTTCCAGATCAGATCTTAGTGGCTTTTTTTTTTTTGTTTTTTTTTGAGACAGAGTCTCACTTTGATGCCCAGGCTAGAGTGAGTGCCGTGGCGTCAGCCTAGCTCACAGCAACCTCAGACTCCTGGGCTCAAGCGATCCTCCTGCCTCAGCCTCCCGAGTAGCTGGGACTACAGGCATGTGCCACCATGCCAGGTTAATTTTTTTATATATATATTTTTAGTTGTCCAGCTAATTTCTTTCTGTTTTTAGTAGAGATGGCGTCTGGCTCTTGCTCAGGCTGGTCTCGAACTCCTGAGCTCGAATGATCGGCCTGCTTCGGCCTCCCAGAGTGCTGGGATTACAAGCGTGAGCCACCGCGCCCGGCCCTTTCCTAACTTCTGATTGTCGCTGGCAATCCCGGGCAGTCCTTGGCCACGGCATGGCAACCCCAATCTCTTCCCTATGGATGTCACAGGGAAACGGTCTGTAGTCCTGTGATTAGGGCTCAGTCTTTGCATGTGACCTTCACAAGGGCTTCTCTGCCCCCTCCAAGGAGAAGGGAAGAGGGGCTGGAGTTGTCCCTTGTCTGTCTGAGTTGGAGGGCTCCCACAGGTGGAAGCTGGGACCTTCCCTCCCCGGGGAAATCCAGCTAGTTGGGAAAATACTTTGCTCTGAGGGCAGTCCTTTGGCAGATCTTAAAATGGTTTCTTTTTCCCTCCCCCTGGCTGAAAGCACTAGGGGGTTTCTCTCTGTCTTCCCTGCGAGGTCCTTGGTGAGCTCCCGCAGGTAAAACTCACCAACCTGTGGGGACGCCTGAGTCGGGGCTCCCCTGGGGTTCTGGCCTCTCAGCAGGGCCTGCACCGCGCCAGTGGGTTAGTTTCCGTTTTCCTGCCCGCCACCGGCCCCAGAGGCGGGTTTTGCTCCCGGGCCCCTGCTCCCGAAGTTGTGCTCTGTCTGTGCTCACCTGTCTGTCACTCCACTTGCAGGACAGCGGTTTGCCCAGCAGATCTAAGGAGAGTGGTTGACTTTTTTAGTTTATTTGAGTTTTCAACCCACAGCAAACTGAATTGATTATGAAGAAGGGGCCACGTTGGGGGCCAGCAAACAAACACAGCCCCTGTAGGGAAGGCACTGACAGTAATTCGTGATTTAGCTGAAAGAATCCCAGCAGCTAAACCCAGAACCAACTGAGAGGACAGCTCTGGTAAGGTATCAGAAATGGCGTGTTTCCTGGAAGCTGTGCCCAGTTTATGTTCTCAATAGAATTCTGAATCCGAGCCTTCAATAAACTTTAGGAATATGCTAATTTTGGTTTTTGAGAATAAAACTTCAGCATCTCTTTTTTTTTTTTTTTGAGACAGAGCCTCACGTTTTGTTTCCCGGGGCTAAGGAGTGGCCGTGGCGGTCAGCCTAGCTCACGCGCAACCTCCAAAATTCCCTGGGCTCAAGCCGAATCCTCCTGCCTCAGCCTCCCAAGTAGCGTTGGACTACAGGCATGTGTCTACTATGCCCGGCTTACCTAATATAAGAATTTTTTCTGATATATTGATTGTTAATATTTGTATTTTTATTTGATGTTTAGTTGGCAATTAATTCTTTCTATTTATAATAGAGACGCAGTCTTCGCCCCCTCTTGCTCAGGGCTGGGTCTCGGGACTCCTGACCTTGAGCCATCTGCCCGCCGTCAGCTCCCGGAGTGCTGGGTGGACACATTAAAGGTTCTTAAAGTTCATCTTAAATGATATTAATAGTGGCTGTTGAGTTGCTTCCAAATGACCTGATATTTCCTGGCTAACTGACCGTGGTCAAGTGCTTGCATCATTAAACGCAATTAAAATGGTTAAAAGCAGTTGAGACCCCAAAGGGCTTTTGTTTATGCAGATTTTTATCTAGCGATATTTACCGTATTTAGAAATTAAAGCCAAGAAATTTAAAAAACATTTATTTTTGTTATAAACCATAGTCATAAATTCGTTACATGTTGACCGCAGAGGGATGATATCACATATCAAATAGCTTCTGGAAAATTCCACCATATATTTGAGAAAGAAGCAGAGGAGAGAGAAAAAGGTAAATAACATCTTAGTATTATCATGAAAAAAAAAAACCAAAAAAAAAACAATGTGATCTCATAAACCCCCCACCCACCCAAAGTGAGTAATGATGATTCAATTCGCATGCTTACTCAGAGTGCAAATAAAGAATAATATTTTTTTTTCTGGGTTCTGAGATTCCTCAACTTTATTCAGAAGAAATATGCTTTGAGGGGGCAGGGCAAGCACGGGTTTGTACTCTGTCGCGGGGGCCACAGAAAGGAACAGAAAGTGGTCGTGCATCCTGACCCTGCCTGTGATTTGCTCCTTAACTGTATTTCTCTTAACTCTTCCCTTGGCGCTTTCAGAAAATCGAACATCAGCCGGCTGATAGTGAAACCCTCTTGCCATCTCCATCACTCGCTGGGTGGATGCTGTTAAACTCAGGGAACAACTGAGATAACCGGTTAGGGAGGGAGTTCGTACGCGGCAGTTGAAGAGGGAGTTCCCTGAAGCGGCCTGGGCTGAGTTTCAGCGGGAGTGCGCTCGGGCGGGTGTGCAGAGCCACCACACGCTCTCAAAGGAGCCTTGGGCCGACACATCTCAGCAACACCTGTAACCTGTGCCCAGAAATGCTGTGAAATGTCTCGTGGCTCCGTACGCACACCTGGTGGAGGGCTCAAACCGGGCCGGCCCACAGTCGCACGATCTACCGATCACTACCCGACGAAGGCCCCCCCGGGGGGGACTTCGGGCTGGTCGAACCTTTTTGGTACTGCTTGGGGCGATCACACCCGGTCTATGGCCCGTTTCCAAAGGTGACATCCCAGCTCATCCGTGACCCTCCCTCCAACCTCCCTCTTCCACTTCCTTACTTCTTCCTTTCCATCCTTCCATAAAACACGGAGCGTATGAATTCGCTTTCCATCCAGGGCTTTTAGGGCACTTATTGGCGACACGCGACACATTCGCGACACCGTGCGGTCCACCTGTGAAAAACATCAAAGGAGGCAGGCCCAAAATTCAGAGCGTCGCTTGCAGCAATCCCAGAGGATCAGACTCTTATAGAGGCCTACTGGTGAACCTTTCTGATTGAGTAAAAGTCGTCACCCGGGACCCGGTTTATCCTTCTGTTCCCGACTTTGACTCAGGGGCTCGGCTGCCCCGTTTTGGGGTCATCCATAGATCGTCCTGCCTCGGCCTCTGTTCCTCCTTGGAGATCCAAAACCGGAAGCTCCGTAGAGACAGCTCACTTTGCAGGATTGAGGCCGAAGACGGAAAGGAGCCTAGCTGCCAGCCCGGAGTTCTCGAAGGAGGTGAACAAAGCAATGCGGTCGGGAGAGCAGGGGCTGGGAAAGGGCCCACGCGCTCTACAAGGCAGAGAGTGAGTGTGCACGCGTGCGTCCGTGCGCACACGCGTGTGAGTCCGTTTACATTAGTGCTAGGGCTTTACTTGGGATTCCTAAGTGGGGAAGAAGGTAATATGAAGCTACTTTTCTTTACACGGTATAAAGTGTGGAGAGTTCAACGCCCTGCTAGCTTCCATGAACACATCTACATGAAAATAAGGCAGAGTTCTGACTGCTCCGCCCTTTTCCTTCAAGGACCTTGGACCTGCTGTCTAGAAGCCGGTAGAGCTTGCTCTGTGACGGCGCAGGGGTGGCTTAGTGACGGGGCTGCCGCTGCCCGGGGTCCGGTGATGTGACATCTCGGCACTCTGCAACCCGAGCGGGCACGAGAGATGCCTCTCGGGCGAGCGTCGCACTTCACTGGTTTTGCTTGCGCTTCGTGACTTCCGAGGGTTGGCTGTTCTTGGCTTCTTAGCAGGAGGTTCTTGTTCTCTTGGTTTTCTAGATTGTTCTTCTGCTCTTCCTCCTGTCGGGGTGACATGACAACACCAAGTGTAACGTGACACCAGGAAAAACATGGTCCCCACCCAAATCACCTTTGGTCCCAAATGATCTGCTAATTCTTAATTCCACCCCAGGCTACTGGTACCTTCCCGAGGGCTGAAATCTGACCTCGAGGTCTCTCCGCCCTCCCGGAGGCCAAGATTGGCCGCCCAAGCCCGGCCTCAGCTCTGCGGTTCTTAGCCTAAGGAAGCCCTTCCACCTCCCTGCTGACCCCAAGGCTAGGCGGTTAGGGGCGTGCAGTGAACTACAGTCTGGGCTCTACTGTGGCTAATCCCCAATAGGGTATATGACTTGAGATCCTCACTTAATTAACTAATTTATTTTTGAGGCACGGCCTCACTCTGTCACCCAGGCTAAAGTGCTGGTGGCGTCAGCCTAGCTAACAGCAACCTCAGGCTCCTGGGCTTCAGTGGTCCTCCTGCCTCAGCCTCCCGAGTAGCTGGGACTACAGGCATGTGCCACCATGCCTGGCTAATTTTCTATTTTTTTTTTTTTTTGTAGGCATGTGGCCAGTGTGAGTCTGTTGTGTCACACCATTGGCTCCTAGTAACCGCCCAAAAAAACAACATGAAACAAAACAACACACACCCAAAAACCCTAAACCAAAACTCTCTTTGGCTAGGATGTGGTTATCTTTTAGTAATTCAAATGTAGGATTTCTGCTGCCACAAGAAGGCACCACCAGATGGCATTAGATTCTAAGGAGGAGGATGTTGGACAAACTCATTGATGGGTCCAAATGAGGGGTCATTTCAGGATTTATGTTTGAGTCTCCCCTAAGGTCGTAATTCTGGGAGACCTTAACGTAGTTCTTTGTTTCACAGCATACACACTGAGCCATTCCCACTCTCCAATAGCCTCGTCCTCTGTCAGAGGCTTTTATTTTTTATTTTTGAGACAGAGTCTTACTCTGTTGCCCGGGCTAGAGTGCCATGCCGTCAGCCTTGCTCACAGCAACTCACACTCCTGGGCTCAAGCGATCCTCCTGCCTCACCCTCCGAGTAGCTGGGACTACAGGCATGCACCACCATGCCCGGCTGATTTTCTATATATATATTACTTGGCAATTAATTTCTTTCTATTATAGTAGAGACGGGGTCTCGCTCTTGCTCAGGGTGGTTTCGACTCCTGACTCGAGCAATCCGCCTCGGCTCCCAGAGTGCCAGGATTTACAGGCGTGAGCCACCGCGCCCGGCCCCTAGTGACGTTTGACGACGTGCTAAGGTATATGTCAGGTCATCAGCGCAGCCCTCAACCCAAACTGACTCCTCCTGTCTGTGTGTTCCTCCGGGTTATTCTGACGCACATTCTCCAGTCTGGAAACCAAAGGCCCAGCACGGGCCGTCAACCCTAGACGCGTGTGCACTGAACGCATCTGAGGGGTTTTCAAAAACAACTGCTGCCCCAGACATAAAAGGCTACGTGATTCCGTTTACATGAAATGTCCAGAAAAGGCAAATCCACAGAGACAAAAAAAAAAAAGGTCAAGGAGTGGTTGCCAGGGGACAGGGGAAGTAGGGAATCGGGGAATATCGGGTTTCCTTTTGGGGTGATGCACGAGTTCTGGAATTAGATAGCCGTGTGGGTTGCCCAACTTTGTGAGCATATGAAATACCACTTGCTGCAGTTTGAATGTGTCCCCCAGAGATCACCTGCTGGGAACCTCACCCCCATGCAACAGTGTTGAGAGGCGGGAATGGATTAATGTTGTTATTGGCGGGTGGGTTCGGTGCGAGTTTAGCCCCCTCTTGCTCTCTCTCCCTCTCCTACCCTCCCGCCTTCTGGGTGGGGTGGCGCAGCGCGATGGCCCTGGCCAGATGTGGGTCCCTCCAGCTTGGACTTCTTGGCCTCTAGAACCGTAAGAAATAAATCTCCGCTTTTTGTCAATTACCCGGCCTCAGGTATTCTGTTACAGCAGCACAAAACAGACCAAGATGCCACTGAATTATACTCTTTATAATGGTTAAATGATGAATTTTTACCTCAATTAGGAATAAAAGAGTACTGATGTCTGCCCCCCACCCCCCAATTAGAGATGCTGGTTGGATGGAGTGCGAGCACTGGTATTTAAAAGGATCTCTCGGCCGGGGCGCGGTGGCTCACGCCTGTCATCCTAGCACTCTGGGAGGCCGAAGCGGGACGAGGATGCTCAAATCAGGATTCGAAACCAGCGCTGAGCAGAGCGAGACCCCGTCTCTTACTAAAAATAGGAAGAAATTAATTGGCCAACTAAAAATATATAGAAAAAGTTAGCCGGCAGGTGGCGCATGCTGTAGTCCCAGCTACTCGGGAGGCTGAGCAGGAGGATCGCTTGAGCCCAGGATCTGAGGTGCTGTGAGCCTAAGCTGACGCCGACGGCACTCACTCTAGCCCGGCAACAGAGTGAGACTCTGTCTCAAAAAAAAAAAGTCTCTCCTGGCTGATCTAACATGCACTAGGGTTGAGAACCTGACTTAGTGCAAATAAGACCACGTGTGGGTTCCATCACTGGCCGAGGGGATCCTGGTGTGAGCATGTGCGGAGCTGGGTGGGGAGCTTGCGAAGCCCAGTGTAGACGCTGCCCTGGTTTCCCTCTGAGAAGGGGTTGGATAGGGAGATCCCGGGCTGTAGATTCAGGCTGCCTGTGTCTGGCCTCTGCTCTGCAGTCTGTCTAATCTACTGAATCTCTCTGGACCTATTAGCTATTCCAAAGGCTTCTGGGAAGTCGAGCTGCGATAATGTGCTTAAGATAAGCACCGGGCCTGGCGTGCAGTGGCTGCTCAGAGAATGGTAGTTTCCTTTGCTCTCCTGTCTCCCTGGGGTGTTAGTTCTTTCAGATGGATGCTTTGGGAAGGCACTGCGCTTTTCCCTGTGCAAGGCCCCCACTGTGATCGGTCAGCTAGAGGATGGGCTGGGCGGGGCACAGGGTCTGTCTTCTGCCCTCTGCTCATCCCGTTCTAATTTCTAGAGACAGGGACTCACTGTCACCCAGGCTGGAGTGCAGTGGCCAGATCACAGCTAATTGGAGTCTCAGCCTCCTGGGTTCAAGTGATCCTCCCGCCTCAGCCTCCTGAGTAGCTAGGACTACAGGTGCACGCCACCACGGCTGGCTAATTAAAAAAAATTTTTTTTTTTTTTTGGTAGAGACAAAGTCTTGCTATGTTGCCCAGGCTGCTCTGAAGCTCCTGACCTCAAGCGATCCTCCCCGGGATTCCAGATTTGAGCCACTGTGGCCAGCCCTGCTCTGCCCTTCGGTGACGCACCTCCTCGGCAAGGTTGGACTCACCATCTCCGCTGCCAGGTGAGCCCGCTCAGCAGGAGGACGGTGAACAGCAGGAGGACGCAGCCGGCCACTGTCAACAGAGAGGTCGCTCAGCAAAGGGGCCCTGCGCGTGGCGTTGGGGCAGCAGGGGCCAGGGCCCCGGGGCCGGTGGAGACTGTCCCTAAGGTGGACGGGCAGTGTCTACTCCCCTTCTCAGAACAAGTCCCTCCCCAGAGGCGGGTGGGGCAGGTTCAGAGGCCGGGCCTCATTTAAGGAGGTTGAGAACAGGGGAAAGAAAAGTGTTGAAACGTGGAGATAAACAACAGGCACATTGGCGTCTCTCGGAAGCGTTCACGGTGTCCAGACGCTGCCTGGCTGGGGTCCCGGGGGTGGCTGTTATCTGTGTGTTCAGGCAGAGGCAGCCTCAAAGCCTCCCCACCAGCAGATAGTGCAGGGCTTCTGGAAGCCTCTGTCCAGCCTCTGCTGGCTACACAGCCCCCTCCTCCAGAGAGAGCCCTCTGCACTGGCCCGGGAGGAGCCGGTGGGGCTGGCCTGGGCCTCTGTGTGACCGGCCCTGGGGCTGGGGCATGCAAACGCCCGGGTGAGTCTCTCAGCCAAGTCAACATTCTGCGGTGTGACACACGGGGCCCTTTCAACCCCCCAGCCCACGTCTCAGCACGGTGTGCGTTTTGTCCACAGGGAAAGCCACCCACCTGCCACCTGGTACTCTGTCGTGAATATGAATGTCTCCGTGGTGGCGGCTGCTTCTGTGTGCTCCTGATAATCTGGGGACGAGAGAGAGGAGGCGCCTGGTTACGGTCACCGTGGGCACCCAGAGGGCTGGCGGGAGCCAGGGCTTCTCCGGGGACTGGCAGCTCAGAGGCCGGTGGGAGGAAGGGAGGCAGGTGTTCCCCCCTCTGCCTGGAGACGCTGCTGAGTGCTGTGTTTCCTCTGGGTGACACTCGCTTTGGGGCGAGCAGGTCGCTGAGACCCTGTCCCTGCTCTGGAGGAGGGGGAGCTGCTGGTGGGGCGGGGGGCTCCTCCTCCCCACACTGTGGTCCCCTCTGCATCTGCCCCGAGCTGCCTCTGGCAACTGACGTACCTGTCGTTGGTGGCCGAGCTCCTGTACTTGTCATCGTCGTGAGGGGACAGGACGTCTTCCTCTCAGGAAGGTCACTGGGGCTTGCCTGAGAAGGCTCTTCACCTGGAGGGGAGAGTAAGCGATGCTTGAGAGCTAAAGATGGGAGACACAGCCTCACCCCTACCCGCCTGCCCTCGGCAGTGGCCCTGGTGTGCCCGCCGAGGCCGAGCCAGGGGCCACCCCGCCATGCCATCGTGGGCACATCTCTGGGGATGCCACGTCACGCAGCTCCACCCCAGGGCCACCGGGAAGTGGTGGCGCGGCCTCAGCAGGGCGGGTGAGAGGGAATCGGACCCCGGCCTGGGCTGTGCGTGCAACTCTGGGCGAGGCTGGCTCCGGGGGCTTCTGACTCAGCCCTGCAACTCCGGAATGGGCCATGGCCACCCAAGTACTGCCACCACCAGCTGAAGTAGCAACACACAAAGGGACGGCTTCTCCCCAGGCACAGGCTCCCCGCCCGACCCCTGCCCCACCCGGGCTCCGGAAGCTGTTGGATTGCAGGGGCGTGCTTCTTTGTGTGAGCCCTGGCGTGGGAGCCCTTGGCCGGGGGGAGCCTTGCCATGGGGGGGCCCTGGCCGTGGTGGCTGGTTGCTCTGTGGGGAGCCTGGGCCGCGTGGCGAGTGCCCTGGGCCGTGTGGGAGCCTGGCCGTGGTTGCCCTGGCCGTGGGAGCCTGTGTTGTGGTGTGTGTTTTGTTTGTAGTGTGTATTGCAGGCAGCTTTATATATGATATATGTGTTCAGCTGTTTGTGTGCGCTCAGGAGCCCAGAGGAACTACCGAGGCAGAGGAACACGGCCCGGCCCTCGTGGGCCCGACTAAGCTGCCGAGCAAACAGGAACACTCGCTGGTCGACGCAAGGCATGTTTTTTTTTTTGGAGACAGAGCCTCACTCTGTTGCCCAGGCTAGAGTGCCATGGCGTCATGGCGTCAGCCTACCTCACAGCAACCTCAGACTCCTGGGCTCAAGCGATCCTCCTGTCTCAGCCTCCCGAGTAGCTGGGACTAAGGGCATGCGCCACCATGCCGCGGCTAATTTTTTCTATATATTTTTAGTTGGCCAATTAATTTCTTTCTATTTATAGTAGAGACGGGGTTGGCTCTTGTCAGGCTGGTTTCGAACTCCTGACCTTGAGCAATCCGCCTGCGTCCAGCCTTTCCCAGAGTGCTAGATGACAGGTGCGTGAGGCCATGCGCGCGCGCCGCGCCCCGCCTAAGGCACTTTTTTTTTTTTTTTTTTTGAGACAGAGTCTCACTTTGTTGCCCAGGCTTAGAGGGTGCCGTTGGCTCAGCCTGGCTCACAGACACCTCAAGACTCCTGGGCTCAAGCGATCCTCCTGCCTCAGGCTCCCAAGTAGCGTGGGATTAGCAGGCGATGTGGCCATCAGTGCCGCGGCTATTTTTTTCCCATAATTATTTAGGTTGCCCAATGTAATTTTTCTTCTACTGGATATAGTAGGAGACGGGGTCTGGTCTCTTGCGCGGCTGGTTTCGAATCCTGACCTTGGGAAGCAATCTCCGCCTCGGCCTCCCAGAGTGCTAAGGATGGACAGAGTGAGCCCTGCGCCCAACCCTAAGGCGATGCTTCGATCTGTGGAACCATCATAGAGATTTCAGAGCGAAAGGTAGCAAGGACGCTCGGTTGTGGCGGCTAGGCCCCTCGTGTGCGCACGTGTGTGTGTGTGTGTGTGTGTGTGTGTGTGTGTGCTCATATGCTCTTGTGTAAGTCCCTTCTCTGCACTCTGGCACTTTGATCCAGGCCCAGATGGGGAGTCACACGGGGGAAGCACTGCACAACCATGGGCGAGCAGGGTCGCCAGCAAAAGCAACAACGCGTGGGTGGGCGCCGCACTTTCCCCCGGAGCCAGGGCAGTCTCGGGGGCATAGGGATGAGGTAGAATCTCCGACTGAGCCGGGAGAGGCAGCACGTGGGGTGCCGTCGAGCCCTCAGGAGGCCCTTCCTCCTCTGGCTACCTCCCTCTATTCAAGGTACAAGAGGACCCCGGTCTCAGGGGCCCCCAGAGCTAACCGGTCAGGTGTTTTCAGCACGAGAGCAAGTGGAGGCCCAGGCAGACGGACTGGCCCCTCCACGGTCATGTGGCAGGTGGGGTCAGGGGCTCCATCCCGGGTCGGCCCGGCCAAGAGACGCGGGCAGAGGGGATGCGGGTGGGGAGGCTGCCCTACCTGGAAACTGACCGGGCTCCGTTCCATCCACGCACGTGAGCCGGGGCCGGGTCCACCTCGTCTTCCCGCCGGCCACTTCACAGACGCTCCGGGCGGGGCCGCGCTGCAGAGCCCGGTATCCCTGCTCGCACCGGTAGTGGACCGCCTGCCCCACCGCGAAGTGGTAGATCCTCTTCGCGGCCTCGTGTTCCCACCGCGGAGGCTCCCTGCAGTGACCTGGCGGAGGGGAGGAAAGTTCCGGAGGCGAGCTGGAGAGACCGCGAGGGCGTGCACGCCAGTCCAGCCTGCCCCTTGCTGGAGCCTGGCCCCGGGTGCCTATGCTTTTGCACATTCATTCTTTCATCCGGCCCGCACGAGCGGGGGGTGTCTGTGGCTCTGGAGCTTTGCTAGGCCCCGTAGGAAGGCGCAAAGACCCGTCAGCCCTGCAAGGGTGGGGAGACGGTCGCTGAGTGTCGCTAAGGAGCAGACGTTTGCAGGGGTGCACAGAGCTGGCCTTCGAGGACAGTGAGGGTTTGGATAAAGGGACAGGAATGGGGAGGGCGGTCTTGGCTGAGGCATCAGGACAGGCTCGAGCCAATCTGCACCAACGAAGCCTGAAGATCACCTTGGGTCTCCGCTGCAGAGCTGAGAGGCACATTCTCTGGTGGCAGCTGGTGGCCAACTTGGGACCATGGCAGGAGGATGGGGCCGTAGCAGGGGTGAGGGGAAGCCAAAGGAAGGGGCGGGAAGGGCTGGGGGTATCTCAGAGAAACGGAGCGTGATCTCTGATCGAGCAGTGCCTGCAGCTTGTCCCCACGAGCCCTGCCAAGACCTCTAAAAACTTCCCAAGCCCAGTAACTTTCCACCCTCCCGGCCGCAGTCCGCGCCCGGCCGACTTTTGGCCTCAGAGAGCGTGTCCTGTTCTGATCCAGTCTGGGAGTCCCCCACGCAGCCTGGGCAGAGGTTGCCGCATGTACCCTCTGACCCCAGCCCGTGAGGCTGCGCAGGTGCTCTGACCTGCTGGACCCTCCACCCTCCGAGTTCCGGACGTGCCCTGCCAAGCCCTCTGCCCCGGCAGGGCGCCCAGTGGCCCTGCCCCAAGCCGGCTTCTGCCACGCAGCACCTCGCACATCGTGGCCACACTTATGCTTTCATTTCGGAACGAACCGTTTGTTGTTTGACGGCCAAGCTCTCCACAGCCGTCCGAACCTGCATGAACGGGGTTTGCGGCTTCCAGGCTGAGACGGTCTGTGAGGCAGCCTCGGCCGGAACCCGCCGGTGACCTCCTGGGTCAGGACAACAAACCCTGTCCTCTGCAAAACCTCCTGACAGCGGGGAGGGTGGTGGAGAAAATATAACACAGCGAGCAGCGACATGGGTTTGGAAACGCCGTTCCAGGCCAGAGCCAGGGAGCCAGAGGGACAAAACCATCATGCTGCGGTAATGCAACAGGACTTCGAAAAAAAATAATGGAAGCTGTGAATCAGTGCAAGCCAGTTGGACACAAGTTAGCGGTAGAAAGATCCCCCTCTGATCCAGGAGACCGAGGTCTGATCCCATCCTGCCGTAGGAGCCTGGCCGTCCTTCAGCTTCACCTCCCGCCGCCTGGCTCCGCCTCTGGGGAGGCGCAGGTGAGATTCTGCACGATGCCGTTCTTCCCAAGGTTATAAAGCCAGCCTAGGACCAGGGGGGTCTCAGAAAGTCAGCAAGAAGTCCTCAAAGAGCTCCGTGTCCCAGCCTGAGCAAGAGCGAGACCCTGTCTCTACTAAAAACAGAAAGAAATTAGCTGGACGACTAAAAATATACATAGAAAAAATTAGCCGAGCGTGGTGGCGCGTGCCTGTAGTCCCAGCCACCCGGGAGGCTGAGGCAGGAGGATCGCTTGAGCCCAGGAGTCGGAGGTTGCTGTGAGCGAGGCTGACGCCACGGCACTCTAGCCCAGGCAACAGAAGTCTCAAAAAGAAAAAGAAAAAAAGAAAAGCTCCATGTTCCCTGGCGGGCTCTGTTTCTTCTTGACGTTGTGACCCAGCATCAGCCTGACTCCCGTGGGAACGCCGCAGGCAGGTGAGCGACAGGTGAGGGGCTGGCTCATCCACAGCCCGTTGGCGGGAGATTCCCTGAGAGTCATCGGTGTGGCGGGCACGTTTCCCAGCCCTGCCCTGCGAGAGACACCGTGCAGGAGATCGTTTCGGCTGTAGTTGGTTGTCTTGTACTTAGAGGGAAAAACACAGCGTTTCCTTGAAGGCAGGGGCTGTTGTCACACTCCTGTTTGTATACCGTGTTTCCCCGAAAAAAAAAACAGGCTCTTATATTTATTTTTTCTCAATAAGACACCCTAGGGCTTATTTTCAGGGGATGTGTTATTTTTTTTAAGTACAGTACAACCATCTACATTGATTCAAATAGAGTTGAGTCGCCTTCTTCTGGAGCATCATCATCACTCTCCAAACCCCGGATCCCATCCTGAATGTCTTGCGACTCTATTTCCTTTAGAGCCACTGACCCCAATCTCTCATGTGGAGCCACAGAGCTCTCACGGGGCAGATGGGAAGGGCTGCTCGTCTTCTTTCCCGCTCCGCGACGACACGCATGGGTTGTGCAGACGCGCTGCGCAGCCACGCCCGTCACTAGGGCTCATTTTCGGGGTGGGGCTTCTATTGCGCACATGCTTAGAGATCCCGCTGGGGCTTATTTCATGGGGAGGTCTTATTTTCGGGGAAACACGGTAATATCTTTTGTCAGCAGGGTCTGGCACGTAGTTGCAGCACACGCTTTTGACTTGACTCCGTCTACACGACCAGCCTCCAAGCTAGGAAGCAAGCCCAGAGCCCGGCTGTAAGAGTGGTTTGCGGTGTGGAGCAAACAGCCTACAAACGCCGGATGCTAGTTCTCGTTCACGGGCTACCCTGGGACGAGGGGAACATCACGTGCGTGCTTACGGGTGGTGGGACGGACCCTCCTCCTTTGGGGAACACGTCACCTACACGCAAGCAGAGAGCCAGCTCCTCCAGTGACCTGGGGACAGGTGTTCAGGTGCATCTCTTACCTGGAAGGCTCACTTGGTCCACAGGCTGCTCTGGACTTTGCACTTCTGTGACTTTTCTTTCTTTCTGTTCTTCGGGTTGAGGGGTAACTCTTTTTGTGTGCCTAGAGGCTAGAAAATATGAGCGAAGTGAAGCAAATAGCCTCACAAGTGGCTAACGTGGAAAACACTGCTCACATAATCATTCCCCTGAGAAGAGTCTCCCTTGAGTGCCCACAAAGGGCCTGGTGGCGGCCGGGCGCGGTGGCTCACGCCTGGAATCCCAGCACTCTGGGAGGCTGAGGCGGGTGCGTCGCTCAAGGTCAGGAGTTCAAAACCAGCCTGAGCAAGAGTGACACCCTGTCTCTAATATAAATAGAAAGAAATTAATTGGCCAACCAAAAATATATAGAAAAAAGTTAGCCGGACGTGGTGGCTCGTGCCTGTAGCCCCAGCTACTGGGGAGGCTGAGGCAGAAGGATCGCTTAAGCCCAGGAGTTTGAGGTTGATGTGGGCTAGGCTGACGCCACGGCACTCATTCTAGCCTGGGCAACAAAGTGAGACTCTGTCTCAAAAAAAAAAATCATGCAATGGTTTAAGCACATATTTCTCCACTTTATTTAAAGGATTTACGAAGACCCCGCTTTTTCCTAGGAAAGGAATGAAGGCTGCTACCGTTGTTCTTTAGAAACCTGTGTATCAGAGCTGGCTCGAAAGTGAGCTTCAACCAAATTCCTCTCTAAAATACCATATTTTTCAAACTAAAAGAGTAGACATTAATGAAGTTTTATTCTGAAGGTGCCTCATGTCAAGCAAATAGAGAGGAGGGCCAAGGAATGGGAGGAAAGGAGGAAAGGAAATACGTGTAGATTTAATCAAGAGACAAAATGTGTCTGTGAAAGGTACTTTTCAGGAAATAAGGAGTGTCAGACCTTCTAAAATTAATAACTCTGTGCCATTTTTTGAGAAATATATACAAAATGGTGTTCAATGTCTGGCAAGTAGGAAATGTGTGTTTCCCACCCACCTTCCCCCCTCTGAGTTGGCCAGATACATTCTGATGCCAGGAAGACCTTCTTTATCCACTCTTAGCCCAAAACACAGACACTGGTATCCCACTAAGGACACCAGAACCAGCTGCCAAACATCCAGCTATTAAGGGGGGAAAAATGGAGCTGGTCTGATCAGAAAAATAATTCCATTGCATGCTTTGCAACAAGTTCTTCTGGTTCAAGAGATTGGACCTTTGGCAAAAAGCCCCAGGCTGGACAAAGGAAGCAGCTGAGGGGGTTGCAGGGAGCTTCTCCAGCCACCGGAACGTGCACAGAGCCCGGGGCAGGTCTGGCCGCTGTACTCGCGGCTGGTGGTTGGCCGGCTGCTCATTAATCACCCAGGCCGAGTGAAGCTTCTCTGTGTGCTCAGACTCGGCCCAGCATCTTGCCATGTGAAGGGCACCCCAGTCAGCAGCTCAGGACTGTCCTGACTCTGCCCCAAGAACTGAAGGTGGGGAGAACTTGGACAGCTTGGCCCGTCTCTCACCAAGCGTGGACTAAACAGAGGCAGGCTGAGTGGGCTCGCAGTGCCAGCAGTTACATCGGAGCGGGCAACACGAGCACTCAGTGCGTTCTGGTGACCACACAACAAGGCGAGCAAGGCAGCGTGGCGGGAACGGGAGGAAGACCGGCTTCTAAATTCCACCTCTACCAGCTTACTAGCTGTGTACCCTCATTGTTGTTAATTCCTCAAGCTTGGCTGTCTTTTCTGTAAAAATGGGCATAATAATGATTATTTTGCTGATCTAAAGACTACATGAAATAACATACGAAGGCAACTTGCAGAGGGCCTGGCAAAGAACGGGCATGGAAGGGATGCTAGTTCTGCCTCCTTCCTGCTTTTCACCGTCTGGGAGAAGGGAATGGTGTTAATGATTCACACAGAGACTGGGCTGAAGTTTGCCTGAACCTCCAACTCCTGCAAAAAGGGTCATTTCTCCCTGAAAGAATGCTCTTGCTAACAGGCTAACAAGAAAATAAATTTGAACTGAGGCCTACTTAGGGTGAGTATGAAACCGCCTCTGGGGTTAGTAACGTGCATCGCTCCCCTGCAGATACTGCTGCCCGGAGCAATTGTTGAGGAGCAGCTGAGCAGGACAACGAGGAAAACCGCCAGCCTCTCAGAAGTCATCGTGGCCGGCGTGACCAGCGCGCTCGCGTGTCGTATCTGGTCTGGAGAGAGAGTAATAAACTGCGCCTTGTCCGTTCTACACTGAGAAGTTCTGTCCGCAGCGAGGAGCTCACACCCTGAGCTCGTCGCGACCGCATCCATATCATCTGGTGCCATTGCCAACCGGCATCGTGCGTCGACACCGACCAGCATTTTAAGTATCAGCAGGTAAATCTGCTGCTAAAGCAAGAGGCGGACAATAACTAGAAAGCAGTGAGGACTTCCGCCTCCAGCCGTGTGACAGGGTAACCGGAGCCGAAACTTACTTTGCCGCTGAAAACAACTAAAACACCGGACCCGATGTGTGCAGCGAGTGTGCCTCTCTCTATAAGTCATTTACCTCAACACAATCGGAGGATACACTAGCGATTTACCAGTTTCTAATATTTTATTATTTGATTTATTATATAATTTTTTTTTTTTGAGGCTGAGTCTCACTCTGTTGCCCAGGCTAGGTGCCGTGGTGTCCGCCTAGCCACAGGGCACCTCAAACTCATGGGCAAAGCATCCTGCTGCTCAGCTCCCGAACCGAGTTAGCTGGACTACAGGCACGCGCCACCATGCCGTAATTTTTTTTTCTCTATATATATTAGTGGCCAATTCATTTCTTTTTATTTAGTAGGAGACGAGTTCCGCTCCTTTGTTCGAGGGTGGTTTTAACTCTGTGAGTCTTCATCAGAGTGAAGGGATTACAGGCGTGAGCCACCGCGCCCGGCCTGGGGCTCAGGCCATTTCTGACAAGACCTAACAGACCTCACTTGGAGTCCCAAGAGCCCAGAGTGAGGGAAGCCCTGGCCGACACCTCCCCTCTGTCCGCCCACTTCCTCTCTCTTTTTTTTTTTAATGAGTTAAGCCCCCGTAGGAAGTCCCTGTGGGCGAGAGCTCTCGGTCTGGTCCAAACCCTGCAGCTAAACAGTGGTGAAAGGGAGTGTCCTTGGGGTTAATTTTGCAATTAGTGACTGTCTATTACAAACCAGACTGGCACACGCTTAGCTGCACGAGACCAAGGACATCCTCTTTAATAAGGAATTATGAAAGAGATCTAAATGTGTTTACACAAGGTAATCTTTTTTTTTTTTTTTTTTTTTTGGATTTCAGAACATTACAGGGGCACAAACGTTTTGGTCACGCGAATTGCTTCGGTACAGATTGAGTCAAAGTTATAAGTGTGCCCATCCCCCAGATAGTGCGCATCGTACCCGGTAGGTGTGAATTCTCCCATCCCCTCCTCCCCCCCACCTGCTTGATTTCCGTTGCATTTTTACTACCATGTGTGCACCTGGGTGTTGATCGATTAGCTCCGGTTTAGAAGTGAGTTTCGTGTGGTTTGGGTTTTTCCGTTCTTACGATGATACTTCACTTAGCCAAGTATTCCAGCCAGGTTGTTGCGAAAGGCATTAGTTCACCTTTTTTTTGAGACAGAGTCTCACTTTGTTGCCCAGGCTAGAGTGAGTGCCATGGCGTCAGCCTAGCTCACAGCAACCTCAAACTCCTGGGCTCAAGCGATCCTCCTGCCTCAGCCTCTTCCCGAGTAGCTGGGACTACAGGCACCGTACCCGGATATTTATATATATATATATATATATATATGTATATATATATTATATATTAGTTTGCCAATTAATTTCTTTCTATTTATAGTAAGACGGGGGGTTCGCTCTTGCTTCAGGCTGGGTTTCCCCGAGACTCACTGACCTTCGAGCAATCCAGCCGCCTCGCCTCCCAGAGTGCTAGGGTTACAGGCCGTGGGAGCCCACATGGGCCAGGCCGAGCCCCGGGGAGTTCTAACCATAGCCCAGCCAGCACCGAGCCAATGCTCGTCTTTGTGCCACGTCTCTTTTCCGGCCAGCAGAGGTTGGAGGTGAGGATTAGAACAACTTCCCGAGCAAGAGAGCTTCTAGCTGGCGAGTTACTGCACTTTGCAGAGGACGAAGCAGTGGCTTGGGAGCTCGGGTCACCTGGTGAAGAAATGATCTGGTTCTTGCCCTGCAGTGGTTCTTCTTCTGTGTCAGATCTGACAGGAACTCCACGGATATGCCTAACGTCACAAGTTGTCCCCTCCTTCCTTGGGAAACCCAAACCAGCCCTCTGGGCCTTACAGAAGGTGAGTGCTTTTTGGTGCAAAAGAAAATATAGGCTGGGCACGCGGTGGCTCACCCCTGTAATCCTAGCACTCTGGGAGGCCGAGGCAGGAGGATCGTTCAAGGTCAGGAGTTCGAAACCAGCCTGAGCAAGAGCGAGACCCCGTCTCTACTAAAAATAGAAAGAAATTAATTGGCCAACTGAAAATATATAGAAAAATTTAGCTGGGTGTGGTTCCGAATGCCTGTGGTCCCAGCTACTTGGGAGGCTGAGGCAGGAGGATCGCTTGAGCCTGGGAATTTGAGGTTGCTGTGAGCTAGGCTGATGCCACAGCACTCTACCCCGGGCAAAAAGTGAGACTCTGTCTCAAAAACAAAACAAAACAACAACAACAAAAAAGAATAAGAAAATATCACAGGACACATTGAATATTCCTTTCAATGGTATCATAGACTCTGAGAACTGGAAGAGACCTCTGCTATCATTTAGATCAACATCCCCATTGTACAGATAAGGAAACTGAGGTCGTGGTCATTCCAGGAGTTCGTGGTGAGCCTTGGACGAGGGCCAGGTCCTCTGCCTCCCGGTTCTACGTTTCGGCCTCGCACAGAATCATAATCTTCAGGAGAGACTGTGCTTTTCGCCCATCCGTTGAGGGTTCTCTCTCACCGAGAGGCAGGGCTGTGTCTAAACTCCCCGGGCGATGGGAGGTGTTTTGTGATGTTGTGGTTTAGTTCAGATCGTTATCTTTGAAGAAGTCAGAGCGCTCAGGCCCTCCGTTGGGGGTTATTTATGTAATAATAACAGCAATGTCTGAGAACCTGCCTGCGTGCTGCTCCTAGGTATATATCACCTTCGGTGCTCACTGCAGCTCTAAAAGGTAGATATTGTCACCCTGGCTCCACACAGCAAGAGACTACGGTCCAGAGAGGTTAAGTAAGTTGTCTACACCGCACAGCTCACGGCAGTAGGACAGGGGTCACACCAGAGTCTACGATCGCTGGCCTCCTTTCTGCCTTTTTAAAAGATCTCACTTTTACTTTCAGGAAATCCTTTCAAACACCAAACCTAAACGTGCAGGAAGAGAAACAAAGAGGAAGAGAACAGAAGTGTGAGAAGTGAGTAGAAAAGGTTCGCGGAGGCGATGCACGCTGTGGCTATTCGTTATTTGAGAGGAGAGTTAGGATACTGATTAGATCTGGACTTCGTAAGGTCCAGGTTCATGTTAAAATGTTGAAAATTACATCTAGCATGAAAGAGTAAAGTGAATAGCTTACAGGCTAGTGCAAAAAAGAAATAAAATAGGATAAAAACTTATTTAAGTCAAAAGAAGGGAGAAAAAAAATCTCTGTGCATCGATAGAGATTAAAAATAAAGAACAAAACAAGAGACTGGAAATCATCAAAATATATCACTAATATTTTCCAATGTAAATGCACTATGCATTTAAAGAAAAAAGAATGTTGAATTATATTTTAAAAATACATAGTTTGATGATATTTATAAGATACACAATTAAAGCATTAAGGCTCAATTAAGCACAATTAAGCATTGTTTGAGACTAAAAAATGTACAATTACAACTCCCCCCAAAATTTATATTAATATCAGTCTTCAAGACAAAACCATGAACAGAAATCCAGAAGTGAGTATATGTTATTAAAGGTTCAATTCTCCAGTAAAACATAAAAATTCTACACATGTATGCACCCAATAACATAGCTTCAAAACATACAAAGCAAATATTGACAAAATAAGGATAAACTTGCAAATCTACCATCATACTGAAAAATTTCAACCACATCTTCCTTTGTGATGGATACATCAAGCTGACCAAATAAATCAGTAAGAATAAGCAAAATGTAATAAACACAATTAACAAATTCGATCTAATGGACAACTATGGAAAACCATTCCGACAGCAGAATCAAATCCTTTTTTTTTTGAGACAGTCTCACTCTGGTGCCCAGGCTAGAGTGAGTGCTGTGGTGTCAGCCTAGCTCACAGCAACTTCAAACTCCTGGGCTCAAGTGATCCTCCTGCCTCAACCTCCCGAGAAGCTGGGACTACAGGTGTGTGCCACCATGCCTGGCTTATTTTTTCTATATATATATTTAGTTGGCCAATTCATTTCTTTCTATTTATAGTAGAGACTATAAATAGTCTCTACTTGCTCAGGGGTCTCGCTCTTGCTCAGACGAGTCTCGAACTTCTGACCTTGAGTGATCCGCCGGCCTCGGCCTCCCAGAGTGCTAGGATTACAGGCGTGAGCCACCACGCCTGGCCAGAATCAACTCTTTTCCCAAGCACATGTGGGACGTTTATTTGGTAGGAGCGGAGTTGAAGGCGATTCAGGGGCAGAAGAGTGGGTATCTTATGGGGTAGGAAAATAGAAATCTAGATAGTGACTAAAGAGAAGGTAAATAACAATATGAGAGGCAGGATGAGGCCAGTTCATGCACCATGAGCATATTATAATGACTGGTTCAAACTCTTTTTTTTTTTTTTTGAGACAGAGTCTCGCTTTGTTGCCCTGGCTAGAGTGAGTGCCATGGCGTCAGCCTAGCTCACAGCAACCTCAAACTCCTGGGCTCAAGCAATCCTCCTGCCTCAGCCTCCCAGTAGCTGGGACTACAGGCATGCCACCAGCCGGCTAATTTTTTCTATATATATATTAGTTGGCCAATTAAGTTCTTTCTATTTATAGTAGAGACGGGGTCTCGCTCTTGCTCAGGCTGGTTTCGAACTCCTGACCTCGAGCAATCCGCCCACCTCGGCCTCCCAGAGTGCTAGGATTACAGGCGTGAGCCACTGCGCCCGGCCTCAAACTCTTAATCTAAATGTTAAAGGAATGAATGAGTAAATAAAATAGAAACAAAAAAGGCTTAATATGAAACCAAGGTGTCTCTAGAGCAGGGGTCCTCAACCTTTTTAAACAGGGGGCCAGTTCACCGTCCCTCAGGCCGTTGGAGAGCGCGGCGCACATTCCACACATGCGCACTGTGGGCCCGGGACAAGTCGGCTGCTAAGCAGGACAGGCAGCGGCAGC